TACTAAATTCAGATATTGAGTTGATCATCTTCGCGGGTCATAAGATATTTATTTATTTTATTTTTTTTTATCATTATCATTTTTTATTTTATTATTATTTATTTCAAAAAAAAATTAAAAAATAAATCAATTATCTAACTAACTAAACAAAAAAAAAATTGATCGTTGTTATCATAACTTATCTACATAGCGGGTTTTAACCAGTTCTTAATTCGGTTCGACTATTTTTTTCCTTTCCTGATGATGACAAAAAGTTGAATTCAAAAGAGACCAACAAATTCTTCGCCACAACGAATATTTGTTGGTCTTTGACGATCAGTGATTATCAATTCATCTGTCCTGTAAAAAATCCGACAAAAAAACAAAAAAAAAATGTCAAAACATATTTACGAACCTAGGTAAAGGCTAATAAAATGGTAGACACGAAGTCCTTTCATCACTATTTGTATCATGCTGCAACTTTTTTTCCTGGTTGCAAAAAATAACATTGCGAAAGCAACAATTCTTCTTGCGCTTCACTCGTACCTGCACTTGAACTTAACTTACACATGATGTTATAAATCCATAAGTATTACAAAAATGACAGACGAAAATTTCCTTTCTTGGAATTACGAGGAAATTTTGTTCGTAGATCTTCTGCAGAAAGACGTTACAAGCTACAAAAAAGTCGTACAACCCAAACCACTTATAGTAGAAAAGTTGACACAATCCAGTTCACACATATATACAATCATCACACCACATACACATATACGGAAAAAACGATCTGGCAAAATTGAAAATCTTTAACTACTACCACAACCACAAAGCAATTTCATTTTTTTACATTTACAATGATTTCATTGCACGTATTTCTGCAATTGCATTTAACATTATCTACCTGTGAAAGTTACATAATTCAAATGCTTTGAAAGAATGATATCCAATCCTGAAATCTTGTCAGAACTCAATGAATGTAAGTAGATTTGAGTCAAATTCAATAAATTATAAGGTCCAAGATCATGTATAGCAAATATATTTTTCACCCAATAATGATCTCTTGCGTTCCCATTATTGTATTTGTCGGATCTTGTAAAATTTTAATACGGGAATCAAAGTATTCACATGTAATTAAGATTTTATCTATTAGTCGATTTGCCGCTAAGGTATTTGGAAAGCAATTCATCAAATGCAAAAAAGGATTCGTTCATCGGATAGAAAGAGTTGTAATACGTATCGTTACGCTCATATAGTGACTATATATTATTAGCTGCACCGCATCCAAAACTATGTTATCCGACAAACTTTTATGATCATGAATTTATTTTCTGTTGTTATTTTTTTCATATGTTACGAAATATTCAGCCGACGACTCCCCACCAATCATGATTGTAAATTGTCGGATAACACCATTATTCGAACACGTGCCGCTTCACGGCGCGTGTCAGTCAATCATTTGCCCGGCAGAACCAAATTACCGTCATTCAAACTTCTTGCCGAATAAATATGTAGCACTTATTCGAATAATATTAGTCATTCAACGAATATTCGAATAAATATTTGCTGATTTAAGTTATTCGAATATTATTCGAATAAGAATCAGTAACCTCTACTTACGATGTTACTGGCAAGGTCGAGCTATTTTCTTTGAGTAATATCTATTATTCTGGGATAAGATAATGAACAAATAAATTTTAACATACGTAAGTTACGCGTAAGTTACGTGACTTAAAATTAAATTTACGTCAGTTGAAATAATTTACCAACCTTAATATCTGTATATTTAAAATCAATTCAAATTGCTTTTAGATTTCGTATAAACTTGGGTTTGTAGTAGTTCAAGGTAAAAGAGCCCAAATAGTTAGTGCATGCTCTCCATCTTTGTACAGAAAAATTGTTTTGTTGCTGCTGAGATCTGGCCGCAATTTTGAAATTTTCAAATTTCGGCCCGGCCCGATTCAACCTAAATAGTTTCTAAATCTATATAATTACATTTCGACGTACAACACATACAACAAATGATTTAAATGATTTACTATCATAGTGTAGCACTATATCGTATATGATTGGCTTACTATGAAAGATTTTTGATCATTTTTTTTATATAATAATTATAAAAAAATCCAAACTGTTTTAACTTTTTATCTTGCTAAGCCGATTAAGTCTGTAACTTTTAAATTATATATAATCAATATATAACTTTAAACTATGTTGCCAAATATTTAATTAATTAACTTATGAAATTCAACCAATTTGGGTTGTTTTTTTACTTAAAATTTGTGATTGGCACTAAAATTAATGAATTTAGCAAGCTAATTAAAAATTTGCCAACATAGATTTAAGTTTTATTGATTATATATTATTTAAAAGTTACAGAAATTAATTTGCTTAGCAAGAAAAGAAGTTATAACGGTTTGGATTTTATTTATAATTCTTATATAAAGTGGGTCAACATATACCGGGTGGGTGAAAAGTCCATGAACAGGACCTTTTTTTACTATCTCCGCTAATATTGAATTTTTTTTGAACTTTTATAGTTATTCATTGTATCAACTTAAGACTGGTACGTATAAACGTTAATTAAAATGATAATCAAAAAAAGTCCTATCCAAAGACTTAAAGACTTTTCACCCAACATATTGATATTATGTAACCTGCACTATTTTGGTGATTTTGGAATAGTAGACACCCCAATCAACGGATCAACCCTACAAAACAGATATTTTACAGAAGGATCCCCAAAATTCTTGACCGTGACCCGGTACCTCGGTTGACTGTGCACGCCATAGCCAATTTTGCCTAACGATAAGAGTACCTAAAATTTTGAAAGTCATTAAGTGCCGAGCTGACAATTTCGTACATAATAGTATTACTTAACTTTCATGCTAACTCAGCTTCGATGAATTCTAACCCGAGTTTTGGGGATTGCGATCCCTAACGCTAACTCTAAATCTATTCATTCGGATTTGGAAAAATATGTTGCAAAAATCCATAAAAAGTCAAAAATCTGTAATCTTACGTACTTTTTTACACGATAAGGATTACAATTTACAAGATATAGCGATATGACTGTTTTGATCCTGATAGCGATAGTTATCCTGTTCTCCATCTTCATATATAAATCTCGAAATAATAAGGTTCCAAATGGCCTTAAAAATGTATATACTTTAACACTTTTCGATAGGTTTATATCAATTATTAAAAGGAGAGGTCCAGACCAATATTATCACAATATTAAAGAATATCTGGAAAGAGATGGATTTATAAAGGTAAATTTTATTTATATCAATATGATATCAATGAAATTTATTGAAATTTGTTAAAAAAAATACAGATATGGTATGGCGGAAGATGGTTTTGTTTGGTAGCTGATAATGCAATCGTAAAAGATGTATTATCAAATCCGGGTAAGTGAAAATTAAATTATAATCTTTTATCAAGGTTCAAATTTATTAAAATATTCTAAATAATCTATAGATATTTTTCCAAAATTAATGCTTGATGAACATTTTCCAAACTCTTTGATTACTCGATATTATGGTGTTAATGTTGTTCATTCAAATGGTGATGTGAGTATTAAAAAAATAAATAAAGTAATTTATTCATTTATTATCTTTATAACGTATCTTGTAATGACACCTTTTAGGTATGGAAACGACATAGGTACTTCATGCCAACTTTAATATTTATCAACTCTTTTCGAATTTATTAACTTTACTCGTGATTTAGGCGTATATGTAACCCAGCATTCAAATCTTTGCCCATACACTTCTTTATCGAAACTGGGTTCAAATTGACGGATATTTTAGAGAAAATAGACAATAAACCAATTGAAGTTAGGAATCTTATGCATAGGTTATAAAAAAATAATTGATTATACATATATAAATTTTATTTGTGTTGAAATATTTATTGAAATTAAAACTTATAAATAATCTAGATTTGCCCTTGATGTTCTTGGCAAAGCTGCTTTTGGGATTGATTTTGACGTAAGTATACTTAGATTTTTGGTAATATTTTAAGGATATTTCATTATTTTTAATGAATTAATTAATTAATGGATTAATGAATTAGAATCTTGGAAATCCGAACAACGTTTATGTAACAGCATATAATAATGTTCAAGAAGACATTACAAATCCATATTTTATTTATTTTCCAATACTTAATTGTATTCCATTTTTAAATAAGCAACGTTTTAAAAGAGTAGAGAAATTGGATAATCTATTTGATGAAATTGTTGAAAAGAAACGCGAAGCTTTGACTAATGAAAATACCAAAAAACAGGGTGACCTTTTAGAGTTAATGTTAAAAGCTTGCGAAGATCCTGAGAATCCGAAATTAACAAATATTGAATTCAGGGTATGTTTAAAAGTTTGAATAGTGAAGTTAATATTTTTTTTAAATAATGCTATAATCTTTTGTAGCATAATTTGGGTGTTTTTATGCTTGCGGGTCATGACACAAGTGAGTACTAACTATGTAATATATATTATTGTTTATTGATATTTTTATATAATCCGTATTTTAATAAATCTATTACGAATTTAGCTGCGAATTCTTTGGCAACAGTTTTATATCTTTTAGCAGCTCATAAAGTAAGAATTATTATTTATAACTTTTACATTTAATTGATAATTAAGGCTGTTTATTTTTATGCAGGATGTCCAACGAAAAGCTCGGGAAGAGATCTTAAGAGTACTTGGTGATGATTTAACACCATCGATAGAGCAACAAAAATCATTAAAATATTTGGATATGATTCTTCATGAAAATCTTAGATTATATCCACCGGTTAATATAGATTTCTTTACGCTTCATATGGCTTATAAAAAAAACTTTTTTTATAACCTGATTGAATTAATTAAATAGATTGCAATCTTACCAGCACGTGTAACAACAAAAGACGTAGAATGTCGCGGCCATGTAATTCCAGCTGGCGCATGTATCCAATTATTTATATATGGAATACATCATTCGCCAAAGCTGTGGAAAAATCCAGAAGAGTTTTTACCTGAAAGATTCGAAAACGAACAGCATGAGCATGGAGAGTTTCGTTCCTGGTTGGGTTTTGGTGACGGATCCAGAAAGTAAATTGTTATATTTTTCTAATTGTATGATTTATGAATATAGCTTATATATCTGTATTTTTTTTTTTAAATGGATAGGTGTTTGGGACTTAACTTTTCGTTTATTGAGCAAAGAATTGTGCTATGCTTGTTATGTAAGTTTTATTTATTTATCATTGTATAAATTTTGATAGAAGATTTCTATTTGTACACTATGTGTATATACACGGGTAATAAGAAAGCCAATCAGATTACACGATAAGGTGTAACGCGCTTTTCTTTAAAAAGTCGATTATAACTCAAAATTTCGCTTATGAAACCACCTTTCGGGTATTAATAAAAAAAAATTCCTTGCGAAATTTTGGTATGAACTATCTCCCGTCATCATCCCCAATCCACCCTTATCCTAACCTTCAATTTTTGTGTTTATACGAATTTATTTTGATTTGCACGTTATACAAATTTGCAACTTAATACCCGTGTATGATACACTACGTGTAAACTAAGAAATTTTCATTTTTATAATATTTAAATTAATTCCTATTATATTTTTACAGTACGTAAATACGAAATCTCATTAACACCAAACAGCATACATAAGGATGGGTTAAAAATTGATGTGGCATATTCTGGAACTATGTCGCCGCTTCCAGTTGAACTTATATTCAAAAGAAGAAACGAATAGTTTTTTTTAGTTAATCATTGGGCAATTTAAACAGTTCATTAACGTAATATAAACGTCTTATTTGTAGCATATGGGCTGCCGTCAATAGAAATAAGAGATTTACCTTGTTTCTATTGACGGCAACTTATATAATGGATGATGCCATAGCAGAAATGTTTATAATTAATACAATAACTAAGGTTTTTAAAAGGAAATTGTGTCAGGCTTATTAGACCTGTTAAGGCGTTAAACTTACTAGGTTAAAATAAATTATGATATACCGATCAGTTGTCTTATTATTATAGTCAGGAAAATGATTGTAATGATTGAGCAGTTACATCTCTTCGATGGTTCATTAAACAGTTCTACTTTATGACTTACGTGCAAACCTATGTGGGTCATGAATGAAGCATTACATGAATCTACATTTTTGGGAGCAGTTCTACATTATGATTTATGCGCCAACCAAGAAATTGATCCTCCTACTATTACGCCTGAATAACACTATATTGATCTTGACACTTTGTATTCCATTGGTTCATAAACTCTTGAGTACAAAAGTTTCGGGTGAAACTTTATCACTATAATATGATCGTTTTGTCATTTCTGTTAGATGAGCGCTATTCACTCGGCGATCCTTTATCAGAACCTTTTTACAAAAAAAAAAAAAAATACAAATACTCTACGGAAACAATAAATTTCAATATTAAATTGGTGTATATGATTCAAAATACATCTGTGCCTTTTATGTTTAATGAAATGAACCCCACCAGGAGTCTTGACACATTTGCAGTAACGGGAATGCGTAAATTTTGATTGCCCTGGATCAGCCCACACGTGTGCAAGAATAAGAAAAAAAAGAAAAAAGCAAAAATACTCAAAAACTAGTGTTTAATTCGGTCTTTGGACACTAACAAAAAAATATCGAGAACGTAATTTTACGTATAGGGATAACTTTCATAACCGGAAACGTAACATAAAGCCAAAGAAAATTTTCTATATAAGTGGCATGCCTTATTGGCTATTTTGAATTTTGACATGCCATGGTGACTTCCGTGCCACTCACCTTAGTGCCTTCGCTTATTATAATTGAGAACTGCAAAATAAATCATGAAAATCTCGACAATATGAAATAACCAATTTACTTTATCTAACTGAATTATTTCAAAGTTGATAACTTATACATTTATTATCAATACATTTATTATTCAGAATATACAACAAAATAATATGAGTGTTAAAAGAAAACATACACATTTATATATAGGCTATCTAGATGTGTATGTTTCTTTTAGCGACACTCATATAATGAAGTTACACACCAACTTAAAAATGCTTATGAATCTTGTCGAACCGAGAATAGGGTTGATATATATGATTCATATTTGTATTTATTCAGCTTTAAATATATAAACGTATAGGTAGTTTATAAAAATTTTAATAAACGATCAACGTTTATTCATAGATTAAACTTTATTACCTTCAAAATGATTTCTATCTGAATTTGAATCAGGATCAAATCTGTATATTGGAAATTCCAAAAATAGAGTGCTTTTTATAAATTGTGGCAAATGTTCATATAATGATGGTGGAAAAGGAATTAAACAACTTGTTCGTGATAAATGT